AAGCAAACGCAAATGCGAACATTTTTTTCACACCTGTTGCCGAAATTAAGCACCAGGCTTATCAGCAGCGAAAGCGACAAAAACAAAAGTCAGTGATTTTATCTACCCTAGTTCTCCTTTGCGCTCATTCTCATTCTCTCACGTGAGCTTATGCATATGCAGTAACTTTAATTTAGGCAGTTGCGATGCTTTATTTTAAGTATACTTTGTACTAGAATATTATTTGATTCCAATTTAAGCGGTGACATTGAGAGGAGGCTTGGGTAAAATCAATTGTTTAATATTTTATGGTTAAAATTAAAATGCATTTGTTTTTAGAATTCTTAAGCGCCAGTACGCCAATAAGACGAAAAAATAATTAAAATCATATTGTTTATTGCGGGTGCTGTAAAAATCTGGCCGGCTCCGAAACACCACCTTTTTAGAGACGCATTTGGCGCATTTTTTTTCCGCTTTGCACAAATTTCCCGCTTTACAGGGAATAGCATACGGAATTCCAAAACAATGCCTTTTGCTCCCACAGAGAAGGATTTATTCCTTTTCTTAAAGGCTTCTGAAGCTAAGCGGTATGATACCAAAAGAATCCATTTGCAAAATTACGTAATTGAAAAATTGAAATATCAAAACCGTCCAAAAGAATTAAAAAAAGTGGTTTTGCAGATTATTCAAAATTTCTGTAAAGATATTTTGCGAAAACTGATTAATTGTAACAGACACTGGAATCGTGTTTTAGAAGAGAATGCTATCTGGTTAAATGAAACAGTCACTTTTCCATGCGAAACATCCGTGATTGAAAAATGTGAACTTTCTCACGATAGCATACGCAATGGCGGAACCAAGAGAGGCCGACCGCCGAAATCCTTCGAAGATATCAATGAGCGTTCTAAAAAACGAAGAGTTAATAGTTTACTCAAGTCAACCGGAACTGAACTACATATGCTGCATCTGTGAATCTTCGATCGGAAGGTAATAGTTTTGGTGCAAATTTGGTATCGAAAGTGGCATCTTCCAAAGTGGATGGCTCTCAATCTGTGAGCCCAATCACATCTTATACTGAAGATGAAGCTTTGGCTTTTATGGTATCGAACAAATTGACAAAACACCAATATCTTAATATTAGATCAGGTATTAAGGAAAGAGGCATTGATCTGTATCCTTCTTATCAGTGCCGGATTAGCCATATAGCAGGAGTAGCAAATGCTACGGGCCCCGCGCATTGGGGGCCCCGCGCGGCCGCGCTCCAACTCCTACCTATCTGATCGTAAAAAAAAAAAAAAATTTAGATAGGAACCTAAAAATAATTTGCATGACTTAAGCGTGAAGCGCTTAGGCTATGCTTTACTCCCATCTGAAAATATAAAACTCGATTTCGTCACGTTATATTTTATCTGAAATTAAACCACTTTTCTACCCTTCAAGCGGCCAGATTTTCATTTTTGTTATATAGGTATACATTTATTTTGCGAGTTTACGTAGCCGATATTGTACTTTTTTATCGATTTTAATATAATATAGATTATCAGTATTTCGAGAAAAAGTAGGCAAACTATTTAAATTTTATTGACTCGTTTGACAACGTTTCGAAGTTCAGGTGTTTATTGTCATTATTGATAACGTACTGTCTGCTTTAACTAAACGTATGAAGGCATATCATAAGATTACTAGTGTTTTTGAAGTATTTCGACAGCTAAAATCTCTTACAACAGAAGAGATTTTGGAAAAATCCTCAAGTATGGTCAGTGCTTACGAAGATGATTTGGAGAACAGCCTAGGTGGCGAATTAGTGAAGTTCGCAGAGCTGCTGAAAACAGATGTGGCTACTGTTATTGACAGCACGAAACAGGAGCCTCTGGAACAGCAATTTTATAAACTTTTATTAAACAATTCTTTAGAATCGTGTTTCCCAAACTTAGAAATTGCCTTGCGCATTTACTTGTCTCTCATGATCACTAACTGCAGTGACGAACGTTCTTTTTCAACATTAAAACGTATTAAAAATGAATTAAGGAACACGATGGGCCAAGAACGTCTTAATCATCTCACTTTGTTGAATATAGAACATGATTTGCTTAAAGAAGTCGATATTGAAAGGTTTATCTCTAAATTTGCCCATATTAAATCCAGAAAAGTTTATTTGTAACAATTTTGTTTTATTTAATACCCTAAACTTGAGAACCTAAAGCAAAGCAAGGGCCCCTTGACAGAATTTGCTACAGGCCCCGCGCTAGCTTAATCCGGCACTGCTTCTTATCATAAGATTATAGAAGCTAAAAAAAAAGGTGTTTTCCGAACAACATTACAATTACTGAACAGAGTGCTGAAGTTCAATTGCAATCCCTTCTTAATCACTTATCAAATCGTTTACTACAGGTCGTACAACCTGTTTTACGCACTCTTCCTTCAAATTGCCTCTCAAAATTGATTTTGACCTCCAAGTGGGGCTTTGACGGTAGTTCAGGGCATCCAGCTTATAAACTGCGTTCTTTTGAAGACTTTAATGACCAAAATATTATGATAACTTCACTTGTGCCTTTAGAGTTGTATACTCCAAAATCTAATTTATGTCACAAAATAATACTTCGGAAAAATTGTCGTCCATCATCTTCTCGATCTTGCGTACCAATTAAAATCCACTTCACAAAAGAGACCTCTGCAGTTTCGTTGTCAATAAGAGATGAGATTAAAAGTTAAATAGGTAATTTAGTACCAAGTACCATTACAAATGATGAATTTCAAAATGTATCTATTTCTCATCAAATGCTCTTAACTATGATTGACGGAAAAGTCTGTAATGCTCTTACACAAACTGCCTCAACTCAAAGATGTTATGTTTGCGGAACATTACCGAGCATTATGAACGACATAAATACATCAATTCAAAGAGAAACAGATCCGTCCACATTTGAGCTTGGCTTATCTCCTCTACATGCCAAAATTCGATTTTTCGAATGTTTGCTGCATATTGCATATCGCTTGGACTTCAAGAAATGGCAAGTTCGAAGTCCTTCAGAGAAAGCGAGCTTTAAAGCAAGAAAGGCATATATTCAAGCAGCCTTCAAGGAGAAGATGGGGTTGTTAGTAGATTTCCCTAAAACAGGAGGTAGTGGATCAACAAACGACGGAAACACCGCACGTAGGTTTTTTAACGATCCAGAAATTTCATCTGAAATAACGGGCATCGACATAATTTTGATAAAACGATTAGGCATAATTTTTCAAACTCGGTCTTCTGGTTTTGATATCAATAGCAAAAAATTTAAGGCTTATGCGCTCGATACAGCAAAAATGTATGTGGACTTGTATAACTGGTATAATATGCCAGCTTCCGTCCATAAAATACTTATTCACGGTGCAGCCATAATAAAAACGGAATTGCTGCCTATTGGACAGCTCTCTGAAGAGAGATATAAAAAGATTTCGAGAAAATAATACACGAAAAATATCTAGAAAAGATACCATGATGGATTTGATGCATAATTTGCTAATTTCTTCTGATCCAGTAATACTATCAAAATCCAAATGCTTTCAAAAGTACACAAAGCCTCTAGCAAAAGAGGTTATGGGACTTTTGAGGCTACCGGCCATTAAATCAGAACGTCTAGAGTCAGATAGTGATTCTCAGTGAGAAGATACTTAAAAATTAAAAAACAAAAATCCAAAAAAAAGTAATAAAAAAACAAAAATTCAAATTAAAAAAAATAAAAAAATATTAAAAGAAACATTAAAAAAAAATTTTTTTTAATTTCAAAAATTAAAAAAAAATAAAAAAAAAGGAGAGTCTAAATTTACCGTAAACCTCCACGTGGTACTCTCTGGGGTCGTGAAAAATGAGATAATATATTCACCAGCTATTTACGGAAGTCACAACTGCCATATTGGAGCCGCCATTTTGAATTTTGAAATTTACACTTCATATTCGAAATCAGCGACCCCCAAAACCCCCGAGTACAAATTTTGAAGTCTCTACGTTGAGTTTTTGATTTATGATCACTTTTTCTATATAGCCGGACCACTGTGCGGCGGCTGGAGCCCTGGCAGCCATGAGGGCTCGTAGTGATTGCGAGACGGATGACCAAGACTACTTCATGCAAGACGATGCGAACAACGAGCTGCGATTCATGTTGCAGCAGCGGAAGCGGCGCATTGATCTCGATTGCGCCTTTTATTGCTGGTCTGGCTCGTCTATCGGGTTGGCGTGGATTCGGCAACCTCCGAGGGAGTTCAACGTTTTTTATCCAACCAAATCGCAAAAATTCAGGAGATGGGAATGTCTTGGCATCATGTCCCAACTAATCTCAATCATCGTTTCGCAACTCAAATTGGAGCCGTTTGCATGGATATTTCTATATTTCCATTTCGATACATGTTTCGTTTTATTTCGAATTGCAGAGGCAAAGCTTTACCTTCAGATGGCCATCTATCCGAAGTCATACCCGGCAAGGACGGCATCGTCAGAGTAGCTTTAGTCTGGACAACTACGGGCAGCCGCCTCCAAATCGTTCTGCTAAACGCGACGGTATAAAGAAGCCGCGCTTTCGGCTTATCTCACCTCATAAAGCTATTACATCTGTCGAATACATTGTTCGCGAAAATATCGAAAACGAAAACATAAGAGTTGCAGCTCCCAATAAACTTATACTTTAATTAATAAACCTATTCGTGCGTTGATTAATTACAAGGTGGCATATTGGCTATCTTCCCCATAAACACCTACTATTTGCCAAGAACATTTTTTAAAATAAATTTTCGGACGAGATTCATGAATTTTTTACGGCAGCTAAATGAATAAAAAAAAATCACCTCTTTTCGAGTTTAAAATTTAATGAAGATATCATTTGTGAGGTTATGATTTTAAATTTTTTCATAAGACCCCAAGAACATTTCATAAAAAAGGTTCCGGTCAGCTCGGTGCTTGTTACACCTCTCTCGACCCATGTCCCTGGACAACACGCTATTATGATGACGTCGCAACTGAAATATTAAATATTAAAGGTACTTACTGCTGTATTGTGTTAAGCAATGGGGTGTGAAAAATGGTGATGTAGTCCTTAGGTCTAGCGATCGATAAATTAAAGGGAACCTATATACGATAAAAAGTGTTAGTTGTTAAGTTATTTTTTGAGCTGGAAACGGCTTTACCTTTATTCCGGGCTCATCAAAGCAAGGAAATACTCGACGTGCATTGTTTGGCTTAAAGTTTGTGGCCAAATATGCTTCTTGGACGTTGTTCGTCTCATTGGTATAATAGCTCTTAAATAGTCCTTCAGCAACTTCTGCTATATTTCCTTCGAATGAAATTTCTAGAAGACATTCAGATTCCCTTTTAATTTTGTCTTTGAGGTGTAAAACATATATAGCCTTTCGAGGTAGTCGGCTGCCTCTTAAAATTGTTACCCTTCCATCTGTTTTCCTATTATTATTATTATGCAATTAACACAAATAAATCTAATTTACCTTGTAAGCTCACTTACCCATTTTCCATATTTAATCTGCTTAGTTTAATTGATCTTTCATCAATGATTAAGTTAAAATCTGCATGGAAGTGTACTTTTTTTGAATCTAAAATCCATTTTAAATGCATTTTTATATTTCCTTTGAAGTTTTGGCTTTCAAAATTTGGTTCGATGTTCACTTCATAACTAAGAGGCAAAATATCACTTGGCAATCGAACCTCTGATATTATGTTTACCGTAGAAAAATCAATGTCTCCGTGTTCAAGTCCCTATGTTAAAAAATAAACAAAATTGGCTATTATTTTTTTTAAAGGAGAATATTTAACAAATCCGAAGTTTTGAGTGCAACTAAACAGGACAACTACTTCCGACCCTCAAAAATATATATATTCTTAATAAGCATCACCATTTGAGTCGATCTAAACATATAAGTTGGCCCGTTCATAAGCAAACTACAGTATTAATTTCTAAACCGTCTTGCTGAAACTTTTTCCAAAGGCTTTAAGAAACTGATAGGTAGTATTAACATATGAGTTTATACTTCCCCACCGATCGGATGATCATATTATTAAGCGACTGTACCATATATTCGATATATTATATAGATTCAAAAAGAAATATCAAAGATAATATACAATTAAAGAAACAAAAATAAATATCTTGATATATAGGAAAAACTAAATAAAAATTAAACGACCATTTCATATTGCTGTCAATGGAAACCTCTTAACATTAATATCAGAATGCAAAGGCTTACGTAGTAAGATTACCAAATTGTACTCTGAAAGCCTTTTTTTGGTTAAGACCGGAGATTCTATACTCTGAAGTTAATTTAGGTATACTCTATACACTAGACGGGAATATGGTGGCCTTACAACCTTGTATATAAGTAAATTGATTGATTAGTTGATTTGTACGTTGTTTCTAATTCTAAAGGTGTATTTATTACCAGAGCAATATCGATTACCTGAAAATCCTTATTACCCTATTTTCGGAAGAAAAATCAAATAACACAGCTAGCGAGAAGATTTTTTCCTGAGACTCAATAGTTATACCCGTTACTCGTAGAATAAAATTTATACTGCATATGTAAACAAGAAAGGAAGCTAGCTTCGGCAAGCCTAAGCTTATATACCCTTGCAGTCATCAAATATGTCGAACAAAATGCATAAAGACTAGACAACATCGAAGCTAAGACGATTTCTATTCATTTTCCATATTTCCGACTATAGATCATATGGGAGCTATATAATATAGTTGTCCGATTTTGATCAAATTTAATTCGTAATTTAAGAGTCGTAAGAAAACTCTATATTTCAAAAATCATACTTGTCTGATGAAAAACCACGATGTTATAATTTTACTTCCGTTATTTCTATATAGATTTTGACAGCTATAAGATACATATGTATAGTTGTCCGATTTGTATGAAACTTTTTTCTCAATATAAGTGTCGGGTCATCAAGACGCAGCAGATATGTAGATTCTCTTAATGCTAGCTCTTAGCTTATCTGCATAATTACCATCGCTCTCTCTCTCTCTCTTTATCTTTCTACTCGCTCTCTCTCGTTGCTTGTTGCTTTATACTTTCGGTCAGCAATCGGCTGATCCGCGTCTTGATTCAATTCAATTGTATTACTTCCTTTCGATCTCTCGGAACATTTATAACTCATTTTCGTCGAAATAAAATCGCTGCTCTCGCATAAATCGAACTCAAAATTTTTGTTAATTCTTTAATTTCCACAGCTAATAAAAAAGCTTAGTAGCTAAACATTTGGTGACCCCGACGTGATTTGTGCATAAAAATACCCAGTGCAAGCCACAAGAATTAATTTATTTTACCAGCATATCTCTTTTTATCGGTGCTGCAGCTTCGTTGTGCGTTGGCCGACCATAAACAAAACAAATTCGTATAAGTTGATTTGTGCAAATAATATTACACAAACTTGTACATAAGGCGGTATATAGACCAGTGCGGACCGATTTTCGTTATTTCCCTTTGCGCTCATCTTCCCGCTGAAGCCGAATTTTGCCCGCCGAGTTGCAGCTGAATTGTGCGTTTGCCTGCCCTTAAACAATATTAATGTATATACATATATTAATTGATTTGTGCAAATAAACAAATTGTAACACAAACTCATACATAAGGCGATATATAGACCAGTAGCGGATCATTTTTCGCTATTCCCCTTTTGCGTTCATCTTCCCGCTGAAGCCGAATTTGCCCGCCGAAACTGCTGCATTTATTGTTGTTGTTGTTGCTGCTTAACATGTCTTCAGAAAATTCGGTAAGCGTTACCGGCAACAGCAGCTCAAACAGGGTAACATTTCTGAAGCGCAAGGCAACTTCAATGTTTAATAGAGTGGAGCGGTTAATGGAATCTCTTTCAAGTTCGGCTTTGAATTCTTTTGACGATTCTGGCCTTCATGTGAGGTTGGAACTTATCGAGGAACTCAACGAGCTCTAAGAATTGGATTTTGAGGAAATTGGAAATGAGTTGGAGGAGAAATTTGATGATGTCGTCGTTATTCTGAAGTCTACGGTTCGATCGGAGATCACGAAACGCGCCTCGCAATTACTTCAGCATTCAACTTTTGCTGATGGAAATACGCCAGGTCTTTCCGGCCATCAGTAGCGACAAACTCCCCGAGCGATTCCACTTCCCGCTCTTGAACTTCCGAAATTCGCTGGAGGCTATGCGAATTTGGCAGATTTTTATTCCATGTTTACATCCATCATAGACAGTCATCCTGACCTGACCAACATAGAAAAGCTGCAGCATCTACGTTCATGCCTGAGGGATTCTGCGTTGGAAACCATCCGCTCGCTGGAAATTTCGGATGGCAATTATTCTATTGCTTTGGACTTATTGCAAAACCGATTTGATAATTTTCGTTTGGTTTTTCAGGCACACATTACTGAGATCCTGGGGCTTAAGGCAGTGCAGAGTGGTTCCGTCTCGATACTTCGTGATTCGTCAGATAAATTCAACGCTCACATTTGTGCTCTAAAGGGATTGGGCACGACTGAACAAATCGCAGGATGCATCATCGTCCAAGTACTGCTGCAAAAGCTAGATTCTGCGAGCCAGGCCAAATGGGAAGAGCGGTTAGAGGATCCAGCATTCGTCAATGTAATTCCGACGTGGGAATCCATGGCATCGTTTTTGGAGCAGCGATGCAGGACATTGGAGACTATGGATTTCGCCATGGCAAGCTATGCGTCTGGCAATCAGGTGGGAAATAATAGAACGTCTAATTCCCCTAGATCCGCTTTTGTTGCCACAAATATCAACCCATGGATTTGTTCATACTATATTGCTTCTGGTCACTCTATTCACTACTGCCAAGATTTTAAAGCCCTGCCCCCTGCTAATCGGCTTCAAGAAGTGAAGAGACTCGCTCTTTGCATAAACTGCCTTAAGTTAGGGCATCAGTTGAGGCAGTGCAATTCCAGCAATTGTCGTGCATGCGGAGCTAAACACCACACACTCCTTCACTTGGGAAATATTGCACCCAATACTGTCGTTGAACCATCTGCCGTGCCTTCCTCACCCACTGCTCTTATTGCTCAGGATTTCAGTACTGACATTGTGCTCCTAGCAACTGCCACTGTTCTCATAAAAAATCGGTCTGGAGTTTTCGTTCCATGTCAAGCCCTTCTTGACCTCGGCTCTCAGCTGCATCTAATAACATCTCGCTTCGCAGATCAGCTTCAAATAAAGAAGATAAAGACTTCGGCTTCTGTGACTGGAAAGGTGATTCCAGCTTTGTTACCAATGGCCACTCAGTCAATATTACGATGCAATCCCGAACCTCTGAATACACGGTGAACATAACCGCAGTTATTGCTCCCAATATAACTGAGCGACAGCCTAGTTTCAATGTGGACATCGGCAGCTGGAAAATACCGCAAAACATATGTACAATTAGCTGACCCTACGTTTTATGTCCCTCAGCGTGTGGATCTTTTGATTGGAGCCAGTTTGTTTTACGAGCTGTTGTGTGTTGGGCAAATTAAGCTCCCACCTGGATTACCGCTTATACAAAAAACTCGCTTGGGATGGGTGGTTTCCGGAGGATATGGCGTATCCAATGCCTATCGTTAGTAATGATAATAGCTTGGATCGACTTGATGATTTTCTTCGTCGATTTTGGGAGGTGGAAAGCTGCTTGGAGCCAATTGCGCATGCTACTAAGGAAGAACTGGACTGTTGGGCGCACTTCAAAAAGCATTTCATTCGTTCCCCTGCTGGAGATTATTCTGTTCGTTTGCCTGCCAAGCTCAACCTGGAATTATTGGGTGAGTCCTATCAGCAAGCTTATCGTAGATTCCTATCCCTAGAGAGGAAGCTAGATCGTCGGCCAGCCTTGAAGGCCCAATATGCGGCTTTTATAAAGGAATACTTTGACTTGGGGCACATGTCAACAGTTGCTGGCGCAGACCTCGCTTCATGTCGCTCCTTTTTGCCTCATCATTGCGTCACAAAGGAGGATAGTTCCACTACAAATCTTCACGTAGTTTTTGACGGATCTGCCGCTACTTCATCAGGCTACTCTCTCAATGATTTGCTCATGGCAGGCCCCGTAATTCAACATACCCTGTTCCAGATTTTAATTCGATTTCGCTCATACCCGGTAGCCATCACTTAAGACATTTGTAAGATGTACCGTTGTGTCAAGGTACATCCAGAGGACAGCTATTTGCAATGCATTTTATAGAGGACTTCCCCACAGGACAAGCTGCAAGTGTTTAAGCTGGGCACAGGCACTTATGGCACGAAGCCTGCATCATTTCTGGCTGTGCAGGCTATGCATCAGCTGTCAAGAGACGAGCATTCTTCATTTTCGCTTGGGGCTGAGGTCATTCAGCGCGACTTTTACGTAGATGATCTGATATCTGGAGCCCAGACCGTGGACGAGGCTATCATCATTGTAGATCAGACCTCTAAAACTCTGTCCAGAGGAGGCTTTAAACTTAGAAAGTGGTGCTCAAACGTGCCAGCGGCTTTGTGTGGAGTGTCTGACGAAGATAAGGAGTCATATTTGAAGTTTGATGACGGCACTGACTTTACCAAAACTCTGGGTTTAGCCTGGGATCCTGCTTCTGATCAGCTATTGTTCTCCTTTTCTGTCTTGCAGTTGACCTCAAGTCCCTGTAGGCGTTCTGTCTTGTCTGCCATTGCACGATTTTATGATCCTCTTGGATTGGTTGGTCCGGTGATAGCAAAAGCAAAAATTTTCCTTCAGCAATTGTGCAAGGAAAGGT